ATTTGAATATTTTATGTATCGTTCAAACTTTATTAGGTAAGATGGAATACTATTATGATTAGTTAACTATACAAAGAGTACAAGAGACTTGCTATGCAAAGATAATTGATTTAAATAATAGGAATATCTTTTTCGATGATAATCTCAGAATGGAAGCAAATATTCAGTCACGTTGTATACTTCATATTTATCTGTATTCATGAATGCTAATCCGTGAGACGTTAGCGATCAAAGCGTGGCTTCATAAATTTATCGAAGCTTTCATAATGCCTTACATGGCAAAGGAGAAAGTTGATTTGGTTTCCATTTATATGGAATACAGCCAAAGTATGATAAGCAGTATGTTTATATGCTGAACAATTTCCTGATCTTGCTAAATATAGCGATATGAGCAATGTTCAGTGTCGTTTTAAAGCACCGACTCGAAAAAGTATGAAGAACTTCAGTTTACATATTTTTTCAATGAACTAATCTTTATGGAAATAATAAATGCCTTCTTGAAATATGTGCAAATGAATGTGGATAGTTTGAAAAAGCTAATATCAACAGTGGTTGGGGGAAAAAAATTCTAAACCAGAGAACACTCTTAATGAGTGATTCTACTGTACTAGTTCTAAAAACTGATGATTTTTATTCCTTTTTGCGTGAAAATAAACTTTTCTAGGATATAAAGAACTATCTTTAAAATATGAAAGAAATGCAGCAAGAATTTTATTTATTATTTAATTTTTTAACAAACTCTGTCCATTTATATATCTTCAAAACTGTTGACGATACTGAGAAATGTTTCACACAAAAATTAAATAGCTTCAAGGGAAGCATAATTTGAATACAATTAGTTTGTTTATAGATATGTACAGATCAGTAATATTTTTTTTAATAGAATTATAGATTTTTTAATCCACTGTTCAATGCAAGTCGCCATTTCTTCATTAATTTGAAAGATATTTAAATGTACATATTTCTACTATATCATTAAAATATTATTATTCTGAAATAACGTTCTCCTTTGTATGACAATCAGTATTTTGTAATGCATTAATCGATTCAATTTCTCATTCCCATAAAAGAAATGCATTATTTATGACAAAAGCTATTAGTTAACAAATATTTCAACTTAATAATTTAAAAGCTTCAATATTTACGTTGAAATATCTTCTCAACTATTTTTCACCAAAAATGGCTTAATCATTTTTCACGAGAAATTACTAGTTACATCGAATGATCTATTAAAAAATACATAATTCCATTAAAAAAAAATCATTAATTACCTTCATACATATGCCCTCTCAAAATCATTTAATTTTTATGTTAAACATTTTCCCATATCATTAACAGTTTTGAAAATATTTGAAACACACCGTATACGAATATTGTATTTATTAGATAGATTTTCCATTCTTTAGTAAACGCGACTAGGAAGATAAAATTTAGCGTGTTGTTATATTTGTAATTATAAAATAGATATATAAAACGAAGCACGGGATCACGAACCTGAATGTTTGAACAAACGTTTATTGTGTCTCTGTTAGAAACGATAAAAGTGCAAAATGACGTAAGTTGAAAAGACGTAAGTATCAGAGTATGACTGTATTATAAACGTTGAAAATTCGTTGCCTACGAATCGAGCACGAAGCACGTATGAATTTTGTTGACATGGCTGCGTAGTCAGTTCTTTTCGAATGACTATGCACTCGAGCGAAGTACAGTTGATCATTGGGTTTCGTATCTATGTATCAATGAATAATTAGAAGCAATGATAAAGCACTACCAATACGTGCCCCGACGGTAGTCGTTCAGCTCGACTCAGTATCACGACCCATGATCAAAAATAGAAATATTGAATGAGTGAATTTTGTATTCTATTTCATGGAATTGTTAGTAAACACCCCTTCAATATGTGAACAGCGTAATTTGGTAACATAAATAACAGCATATATTTTTGTTATATCTACAAGTTATTTTTCTTTTTGAAAATAATTTTAAAGTGTTCTATTTTAGTTTTAATAATTAAAAATTCTCGCATTTAACGATACGGGTTCCAATGATTCTAATCTTATTATTTATTTGTTGTATTTCCCAAATTTCAGAGAGGATTACAAAAAAAACGAAACATATCTTCTTTCATTTTTGGACTAAAACTAGTTCTTTTTATGTACTTTGAATCGGTATAAAATTCATCTGCTTCTGAGTGCTCTTTAATATGGATTTGATATTATGGATCAATATTAATATTGATTTGATGAAAATGCTCCTTCTTTTATCAGATCCTTATTTATCTCATTAGAGGAAAAATACAAAAGTGTATATTTAGTTTTAAGAGACACTGATTTTCCAGCCCCATTAAATTCATCTGATAATGATGAAGACGTATATGTATAATACCAACATTGAATAATAACAAAATTATTACTACAAGTTATTGAATTTTATTTGTTTTAATTAATTATTTTACGTTAAAAATTAATTTTGCAATGTACAAATATGACTAACATATCAATGACACGTAAATAAAAATATTTCAATGGAAAATTGATTTTTGGTTTGATTTCTTACAATAATAAGCGTGTGTTTTTAAGATTTGAAGTTAATCGCGTTTGAGAGCACCTGAAAATTTGCACGAACTCTCTGGCCAACCCAACAATCGAATTACCTCAATAAGCTTGCTACGACTTCTTTTTCTCGTACGGTTTGAATGTCATTCTTAATAAATGAGCATGGAGGAACGCGCGCGCGTCTTCGCGTATGTGTTAGAGGTTGTTTCTTGGACGAAGACGCCGCAGGAATGAGGATGCAGATAATTCAGGTATACCGTGAGACATTCGCGTGGGAGTAGCGAGGCGTTGCAGGTGAGAACGACTGATGCAGAATCGCGAATACACATATTTCACGTCGAGGTCTTCGTAAAGGTCTTTCGGCCGGACACATGTAAGGGAATTATTTCGAAAGCATTTGTATATGCGCAGCAGCCAACCGCGGTCGCCTTGAATTCCTGCATGCTTTTACTTTTAAGATTAGAATATTAGTTCGAACGCGTTCGATCCGCGTTATCCGTTCAAAATAATAATACTGGTAATGACACTGATATTCGTCTATCGCAGTTCGTATCGTGCGCGTAATAAGCGCCAGATACGTTAAGCATTCATTCGATTAGCAATCTTCATGCAGCGTTAGTAAATTAATTTAGTAGTAGTAAATTACTATATCGAGCACGAGGTGTTTCACAATTCGACAATATAAATTACGAAGATTTTATATATTTTTCTTTTTTTCTGCATCAAGTATCAAAAGCAAGTATGCGTCTTATAAAAATGAAGCTCGTTTGACATTTATGTAGTTTCTCACGAAGACGAAGGTAGTAACATGGTAATTTATTGGGTATAATGAGTGTATAATGAGACACATCTTAGTGATTAACGTTCAATTGTTTTGTAAACGAAGGACTATCGTAAGACGGTCGTTCGGAAACGCTTTTGATAGTCTTCTGTGAAACAGAGTCGTGTAAACTAGTTCTTTGGGACAATTAGATGCTGAACTATCCGCGAATTTGTATAAGTACACGTTAGTTTACGTAAATATTAAATTTATAATATACATATAAACAGAAGTATGAGTGGAAAATGTACAGGAACATCGGAGGATCCGATAACACTTACTGTTACGTTAAGGAACGATGGAAATTCATTTCGGGAAATAGGGAAGGTTGTAAATCACACTCGTGGAACAGTAAACAAAATTATAGGTAAGTATAAGTTAAAAACCACTACTCGATCGGGTTGTCTCTGAAACTTGGCGAATAAAAAAATACGATTAGTGAACAAAATCTTATTGTAAGTGCAAAGGTAATTTTAATTTTTAAAGGAATTATCTGCAAAGAAACAATTATACCGTTTGCATAAGCTTCTCAATATTTTTGATTGTACCTCGTATTTTATTGACTAAAATGTCGTTTAACAAATCGAGTCGTAGTACACGTACACGCAACGAACTATCAAAATAAATTTTCTTAAAAATTGTATCTTACATGAAAAAATTTTATTTCAAATTTTCGATTCAGTTATTCAGAAAGAATTACTCTTCTCGATTGTACCTCTATTTAAGGGTTTTCTAATAAATCATTCTTTCGATATAGTGCAAACCAGACGACAACATAGATACATACATACGTACATTCATTCACAGAAAATTATCAGTTTTTTTTTTTGCAAATTTAGATTCAAGGCACTCAAAAGTGTAAGTTTTACAGACAGGATAATTAATTTTGCACTCACAAGTTAACGTAACGAAAGTATATTAACCGAAATATATCATGCACCCGATTCTTACACGCGTTCATGCTTTCATTTTGTCGTTCGATCTGATTTTTTGTTTTCGACTCCGTACGTTTGGCATATTAGATCTTACATCTTACAAAAGACCGAGGAACGCAAAATTCACATGAAGGAAGTGTCAGATTTGTACCGATAGCAACAGTTTCTGTTTATTACACAAAAAAATAAAGATTTCAACTGTTACCCAAAAAAAATCAGTAGGTAAACGAAACTCAAAGATCTGCAAGTATATCCATCAATCATTTACAGTGAATAGCTTGTTTCTACACATTCGAGTGAGAGAACAGAGTTGAATGTATGATTGATACGTTCCTGGGAGCTTCAAGCTACAATTTCGGGATCCTATTGTATGTAAACCGGTGTTTAGAAACTGTTGTATTAACGTAGAGGAATAATCGCAACACATGATGTAAGAGTTGTGTAACGTTATGTTAATAAAAAGCTGCACAAGCACGCGAGAAGGGAACGTTTCTGCAGGAAAACAATTGATTCGACTAATAATTACTTTCTGGTTTATTGTACTGTTAGACGTTTCGAAACGTTGGACGTTAGATGTTATTCAAACGACGTTTGCGTCATTGCTATAGTTCGAGATCGTTATCAGTTGGTATCCTCGACTAAGAGGATAGGGAAGACCGACTAAAACTAGCGTTTTCTTTCTCGTTTCAGGTCGGGGCGATTTCGTCGGAGGCATAGACAACGAGGCCCTGGACTTCTCGCAATTGGAAGATTTTATTAACAGCGACAGCGAACAACCGGCCACGTGAGTCTTCATACAAAATTTCCTAGTCTGTGCCATCTACCGTGTAGAGTGGCATAACTATTTGCTTGTTAGATCTTATCAGAGACGTTGTAAATACAGCTCTCGCATCAAAGCTGAGAAAAACCTCAGGCTAATCTTGATTTAAATGTCACTTTGAACTTTGTTCGATGTTTTTTACATATCATCCTTACTTTAATGCTTACTTACTTTGTTTCGTCATTATTTTATAAATATTATACATAAATAGTATGTTACGCGACCCCCTTGTACAATTGTCAAATACAATAATCCCTGCTCTATCGACAAAAATTTATGAAACTATTTTTAGTGAAAAAAACGCATTAAAAAATAGGTATTTAATAGTACAATTCCAATTTAATATTTAATCAATTTAATGGGGTGGTTGTACCGAATAAATTTTTTCTGGTCGTTAACTATTATGAGCAACTGAAAAAAATTCAATATTTTTCAGATTTCATAATTATTATCCTCAACTTAAGTACGAACTTTTTATTAATGATTTTCTTCATAAAAATTTGCAGAATAACTGTTACTTCTTTGCGATAAAGTTTTGTATAAAAACAATTATTCTATTATTTAGTTGCATTTATTTTTTATTACGAATTACGTTTATGTATTCCAAACTCATTTTAAGAATAATAATTCTGAAAACGATAATTACAAGATCTCGAAGTAACGATACGTTTGTTCGATGATCTGGAAATATGTTATCACTAATCGAAAACTGACACTACTATGACTAGCTAAAACGTTGCACATAATCTACGAATAAACGATGATAGCATGAAGATGATAATGTAGAAATAGTAAAACGAATTCAAAGTCATAGAAATCATGTGAATTACGTTTAAACCTGAAAGATGATAGTGAAAACATTTTCCTTGGTGATTGTGTTAGTGATGCATATGTTTTGTAATTACTTAATTAAGTATAAATCATTCATAATGAAAGAGGCACAAATTAATACTATACGTAGTATGTGTAGTATGTTATCATCACAAAATTAAGGGGAATGAAGAAGGTTTCAATAATTTTTTAAATGTCATTATCGATGTTTGTAAATATATAAAAAAGTAATACAAACAAAAAAAATAAAACAGTAAAACAAAATTCATACAAGAATAATTTCTATACAGGAAAATATAGAAAACTAATATTTATTATTAATGTTTCTTGTTTATAATTTCATGTAACGTGTATTTTGTTGAAGCAGAGATATAATGATGGTTTGTTAGGACAGTTATTACAAATATATACTATTATATATACTATTGACTATTTAAGAGTATTCTTCTATAGAGTTTGTATGTATGTATATCTAAAGAAGACATTTTTGCAGTTCGAAAATGTTCGTCGGTTAGTGAATAATAAAATAAGGTTTTATACTTTTCTTATATGTAATTCAGATCTTGAAAAATCGATTTTAAATGTTTCCTCGGTCAACGATGGGATTCAATTTTAGTCGGAAGCCATCGTTGACGCCTACATTGGTAACATACGTGCATATGCATCTCTACCGCAATCAGAACCTCGACTTCACATTCGATCAATCATAGACGTACAGTTCCTTTCGATATTTTGTTCTGTGTTCAAAATTACCAATGAAACTGATTACTTATCGCGAGTTTCGTGAGACATGATTAATAAGTAGTCTAAAAAAAGTATCTGTGTGACTAAAATACTGCTTCCATTTATATCTCAAACAGCTTTCGAGAAACTAAATATTAATTTCATTTAATCTTTTTCGGAGTAACGTGTGCAATTTTTTAGCGAAAAATGAATATAAAGCAACCGATTTTTTGACTTGTAAATTAATTCACAAAGGAAGTTTGATCTACTTAGTTATTTATTTGTTCCTCAACCGTTGTATAATGAATGTTTTCGACCTTCCTTGACCATTCAAATATAATCCATCTTTCTTGAATATAATTAATATATTTAATTAAAGTTCTAAAACATATGTTCCACAAAAACAATTTAAAAAAAATATTGTCATAAAAGTACTACAAGAATCTAAAAAAAATGTTAACTATTCTCTTCCTCATCTTCATTAACTTACATTTAAAGAATATTTTTCTTTAGAAGACAACCGGAGAAGATCGTGAACATTCGTTGTAGGATACCTAACGAATAAATAGACAATTCGATGGACTAAACTTGCTTTGCAAAATAGAATGAATAGATAAAACATCCTCTGACTAGATCCTCATTCTTATTTCAATATTACAGAGTTGTCTGCGTAATTCTTATTATTCGCAATTACGACACTACACAGCAAATTAATCGCGTTTTTAATTACGCAATGAATAGCCTTATTATCAAACAATACAAAATTGTATAGAAGTTCTTCTTGTATGGAAATCCACGTAGAAGATTTTACATAAGAAATTTCATTAACTCGTGCCCACGTATCCGGTTCACAGTTACAACGCGGATAAAATTTACTGCGCTACTGGCGATCACGAATTCGCAGTAACGATAAAACGTTCTCACTTCAGGCCACCCCGTTTCAAATCATGTCAATTAAAGAATTCAGATGTAATGCGCTTACCAGCGTGTTGCAATGGCACGCGTTTCCAGCCAACCATAGAACTCATCGTGTCGAGTCTCTGAATTGAATGGACTAGGCGCAACGTGCCTTTGATCATTTAGTTCTCCGTGTTTGCCTCTAAGGAAGTATTCTACTCTCGTTTCTACGCTTTCGCTGTGTGCCAAAACCACTCGAAGGACCACCCAAACAAAACAATTGTATTTATTTAATCTCAATTAAATAAACTGCGGTGGAAGCCCGTTGCTTCCAATGATACACGAGATCGTTGTTCCTGTGTGCATTAAGTCTTAAAAAGCTCGTTGCACTTCAGGAGAATCTCTGTTTTCGAGGTGTAAGACTCTAAGAGACTCTGAGAACCCTTAACACATTCACTGTCAAATCAAAACCGTATTATATTTTGCAAAACTAAAATTTGGATTATAGGTCATTGTAAACTACATAACGTAAAATTTATTTTTTATTTTTGTAACTTTGTTAAAATTCAGAAATTCTATCCAAAATTTCCCTCAATATCTCCACTTGAGAACTAATTTTTCTAGTTCTTGATCTTGATGAGCTCCAAGGATTCCAAGTCCAGAGAATTTGGAGATTCCTTTAATAATAATAACTAATCCTCAGAAATAGATAACAAGTCCCATCTGCATCGTAAACCCCATCATATTAAGATTCCCTTTGAATTCTTAATCAGATAACATAAGAATTTACATGAACTTAGACGAACAAAAAAAAAATATACAATTTTTAGTTAAATTTTGAAATCATTTGACTGAGCCTGATACCATTAGTGTTAACAACTCTAGAGTCTTTAAATCGATTTTTTTAATTTCATTTTTAATTAAACAATTGCGTTCTATAGTATGGTACCCCTTTAAGTTCGATAAGTTTCGAGTCTATGGGTTCGAATTAAAATTCAGGCCTCGAACGATTTCTATTTTTGTGATTAAACTTCTAATTTGTATAATTGTTCCGTTAACAAATACTTAAATTTTCTTGCGAAATCTACGTTGAAACGTTGTTGCCAACGATTACGTAAGAAAATACGTTGCAGCAGCGACTTCGATGGCGGATACCGGGGAATACGAATATATTCCATGTCTCGCTATTATTTAGAGTGAGTAATTCTCGTAGACGGCGAAGTCAATGCAACGGTTCTACGCACGCACCCGTGGAAGATCGAAAGTGCATATACACTACGGATCAGAAGTTTGAGGCCACTCCTCGATGAGTTGGAAACTGTTTTATGGTAATTCGATAAGACTCCTTGGAATTTCAGTTCGTTAGATTTCGAATTTACAATTCATAAACTAAACATTGGCTTCTACGATAAATTCTCTTCAATTTTTTAAATAAACATAATAGCTAGCACGAGTGCCATCTGCTTCGATAGTTTTATTGCCCAATTAATAAAATATCTCTGAGCTTAGTTCAATCGTTAAATATTTTCTGCCTCGACGATACAAGCGTTTGAATAAATGTTAATGAGTCTATTGAATTTGGTCACTATTTCTTCAATTTTAGTAATAATGTTAATTTCTTAGCTATATTTCTTGGTTTCAAACTCATATCCGTTAGTGGAAATTGATCTATGGAAAATAGATAATATTCAGGAGCCCTTGGAATTTCAGTTCGTTACATTTTTAATAATTATTTCTAATCAAAGCAAGTATTATTCTCTTAAACAGATTTCAGAGTTCTCTTAAACAGAATTCTCTGAGAATTAATCGAATGGCCGAATGCTTATTCTCGTATAGTTCGATTGTTAAATATATTTCGTGTTAATTATGTAACCATTTAAATGAATTTTAATTGGCTATAAAAATTGTTCTAATAACGAGAGTAATAAAATTGAATTTTATTTACAAAATTGATGTCAAATTGCTTGTAAACCCCGTATACAAGGTGTTCGGCCAACCCTGGGAAAAATTTTAATGGGAGATTCTAGAGGCTAAAATAAGACGAAAATTAAGAATACCAATTTATTGACTGAGGTTTCGTTGAAAAGTTATTAAAAAATTGAATTAAAAAATTTCAAATCACTCTGAAAAAATTATTTTTGGTTGCAGAGATCAATTACAATAATTTTTGGTGAATACACCTACCCCCGAAATCCTATCCACTTTCGAGAAAAAAGTTCGAGTAGATGTTGAAATTTTTCGGTGAAATTAAAAAATTTCAAATCGTTCTGGAAAAAATATTTTTAGTTGCAGGGGTTAATTACAAGCAGTTTTGGTTAAAAAACATATCCCCGAATTCCTATGCAGTTTCGAGAAAGAAATTCGAGGAGGTGCTGCAAGTTTTGGGTGAAAAAAAGAATTTCGAATCGTCTTGGAAAAATTATTTTTAGTTGCAAGGGTCAATTACAAGCATTTTTGGTCAAAAGTTATACTCCCAAAATCCTACGCAGTTTTGTGAAAAAAATTCCTTATCGAAAATATAATTTTTATCCAGAAATGTTACCCCAAATTTTCATGCGATTGGAGAATTTTAATGTTTCAAGCTTCAAACAACGCGTATTTTGGTAAAGAATATATAGAAATTCTAACAATATTGTAAAAGATGCTCCTTGACCCCGCAAAATGAAAAAAACCCCATAAAAATCGTCCAATTTTCAAACATCCATAACTCCAACAATAATGTATATATTTCAATGAAACTTTTTTCTGAAGTAGAGCTCATGGGCACCTGCAAAAAAATATTAGACTACTTTTCTGTAGGACGTTAAACAAAATTACTAAAAATGAAAAACGGATTTTTAAGAAAAATCGACAGTAGGTAGTAGGTGGGTAGGTTTTTCGACGAAATTGAAAAATTTTAAATCATTCTGGAAAAATTATTTTCGGTTGCGGGGATCAATTACAATCATTTTTGGTAAATAAACATACCCCAAAAATCCTGCACATTTTCGAGAAAAAAATTCAGTACGACTGGAACTTTAAACGTTAATAACTTCTTAACGAAGCCTCCATCAACAAATTGGTATTCTTGATTTTCGTCTTATTTTGGCATCTAGAATCTGTCATTAAAATTTCTCCCAGGGTTGACCGAACATCCTGTACAATTTAATTCTAGGTTTGGTTCTTCAACTTTTAATTTACTCCATCCTTTTAGCTGTTATTCTATTTAACTGACACCGGTTTTTATTTTTATATGTACCTTATTTTCTAAACAGAGTTTAATTTTGTTGTTCTCACTATTTAAACAATTTTTTCCCCGAAGAGAGAGATTATTTCGTTCCTGTGGCTCTATATATCAAATCCAAGTTAGACGACCCAACGATTTATTTGTTATAACGCAAAGTGTAACGCTATAGAACTGGTCTCAAACTTATAGCCGGTAGTGTACGCGTCTGCACGAAACACACACAGAAGAAAGAGGATGAACGTCCATGCGGCGTACCGAACACATGGTCAGCCATGCAAGTACACTCGAATAGATGCGTGTGTGGAAACTGCAGACAGATATCATGTGGTAGCGACCGCAGAGGTGTAATGATATAATGACAGAGACAGCCTGGTCGGAATTGATGGAATCAGTGCTTGCCGCGTTAGGCCTGGTAATCCAACCTAACGCACTCGTTCCATTAAAGGCCCCGCACTGATCTCAGAAACAGATTTCATTCACGGATCAACCGAATAGAAGCTTCACCCTTGATCTTTCTTTGCGTCGCGAGGTCACGAAGAAAGTTAAACTAACGCATTAATATTTTCTCAAAGTTTGAGCTACACGTGACGTTCCCTCTAAATGATACGTACAAATATATTTTTACTAGTTTAGTTTTCCCGTTTTCCGTAGTACGAACTACTAGTCGTATCCTAAGAAATTGATCGTACTTATCGGTATGATATTACGATCAGTCGAATTATAACGATTCAAGGTTTAGAGTTACATTCGTCACCTGTGAAACGTTGAAAGGATCAGCGATTTCTAATTGGATTGTATAATTGATACATGAAAACCGCAATTGTCCAGAGTAAGCAAAAAAGTATTGGATGATAATCGGCGCAACTTTCAAGGATCTTAGATTTTAAATCGTGACAAGGTAATTACATAATTACGACCAGCAATATAATAGTATGTATTATTCAACGTAAATCGTTGCGCAGATTACGTTACGGAAGTGGAATTCGTGGAATCACGAATGGCGGGAAACCCCGAAAAAATTTGTCCGTTCGTTGGAAACGTCGTAGACCAATTTATCAAATAGTTACGGATCGGTGATTAGTATAAATTGACATCGTTGATTTCGTAACTGTCGGCTTTAATTGATTCTTTAGATCTTATTTTCTTGTTCGTAGACCAGTGAATAGCGTATGAGAGAAAAAAAAACTTGTCTGTAGGAAACCGTTGATATTTCATTAAACATACGGTATTTTACGAATGTATGATCGTAGAAATAATACTGTACGAGTGGGTCAGTGTCAGAGAAACTACTTTGTGAGTAACGGTATAATATATCTTGGGTTTCGTTTAAAATACAGAAACGATTTAAAAGCCAAGCCGTTTGTGAAACGTAAACGTGAAACAGCAATTAAGACAATGACCGTATAATTTATTTACCCGTTCTACATATTTCTATTTGTATGCTTGGCCTGCGAGATTCAGAAAATTCTATTTACTGTATTTAAATACGATAACCGCGATCATTGGCCTTACGTTCTTTAAAACATCTATTATATGTAAACACTAGAATGTCTTGAAATATGTATTGAAATATTTCAAATCCATTATAATAATTATTTATAATATTAACAAATCATGTCCATTTATTTTTATCTAATATAATGGACTATATTTTTAAACGTAATGACTGTTAATTGAGGACTCATTATCACAGAAAGAACAATTAAATCTTTTCTTGCAAGTAATTTACATAGTATATTTAAACCAAACATTACTAGGATCAAATTACCATGCTAATTGTTCATAATAATACAGTATAAACCACAATGCTAATAGCAAAATTAGAGAACTTAAAATTGTTGAATAAGTTAAGTAAATAGATGTTAACATAATGTTAATATATAAAACAAAATGTTGACTATAATATATTTTTAATTCTGAATTCTCATCACCTTTACAATATTAAATACATTAACAAAAATATTTAGATATTAAGATATGCTTGGACTTATTAAACTACAATAAATTAAATTGTGAATTTTTTTATCAAATGTAAGTAAAATTTGACGGGTGTATTTAGAAGAATTCATAAATATTATTGAGACTTTTTCTGATTCACAACTTTATGCTACTAATGTTTAATATTAACTTTGCAAAATGCATAGAGTTCTTTCTTCGATATTTTAAATTTCAATTAACTTATGATACTTTACGTTTCCAGAAAATCGTTCATCATAATGAAAATAAAATCACAATGGCCGTGCAGAATTCTTTTTCGTATTAGAAAATTGTAATGGGTTGTGCAATGATTCAAAAAACAATTGCACGTAACAATAATAGACAAAGTGTCATTATTAACTTGCATTACTCGATTTCTGTTGACAAAATCGAAGTTGCAGCACGACTTAAAAATTCCAGACGTTGTCGCACTTTATAAAATTATTTTCTAATAAATTTAAATATTCATTCCCATCGACAATACAATTCCAGTATTCGAAATACAGTTGTAGACCCGATTCTATACTTCGATCGAACGACTGAACTTTGCGAGGGATTCTATTTGTAAAACAATAGTCATGAAATGATGTCACTTTCGAAGATAAACATAAATTTAACATCTTTCATTTATGTAGTCGATATGCCGTGAACGAAGTATTTACGACGTATTGTTAACCTTTTCGCTGCTGAATTAATTAACAACAGGAAATGTCTTCGTACCGAATTAATTTCATGCTTTATTTGTTAACGATGACGTTTACGAATTTATGAAAAAAGTAAACAAAGAAGTAGACGATTTACAGAATTGCTCGCGAAACTCAAAAAGTTTATGCATCTAGCATTTTCTTCAACTTGACAATCTAAGATACTATTTAGAATAGTACGAATATCCATTTTTATAAACATTCAAATTTTTCTATACGTAACAAGAATACTATTTCAAATAATATTCTTGATAGTATTCTTATCTAAATAGTATTCTAGATACTATTCTAACCTAGCATTTTTTTCATCTTGACCATCCAGTTGAAGAAAATGTTAGGTACATACGATTACTATTTACATAAAAATTCTATTAAGAATACTATTTAGAATAGTATTCTAGTTGGTCAGGTTGAAGAAAATGCTAGGTACATACGATTACTATTTACATAAAAATTCTATTAAGAATACTATTTAGAATAGTATTCTAGTTGGTCAGGTTGAAGAAAATGCTAGGTACACAAGAATACTATTTAGATAAGATAACTATTAGGAATACTATTTAGAATAGTATTCTAGATGATCAAGTATAAGAAAATCCTAGGTTAGTGTAGTATTCTAGATGATCATGTTGAAGAAAATGCTAGGTTAGAATAGTATTCTAGATGGTCAAGTTGAAGAAAATACTAAGTACATAAGAATACTATTTAGATAAGAATACTATTAAGAATACTATTTAGAATAGTATTTGAGATGGTCAAGTTGAAGAAAATGCCAGGTACATAAGAGTACTATTTAGAATAGTATTCTTGTTACATGTAGAAAAATTTGAATGTTTATAAAAGTGGACATTCATAGCATAAGAAGGTGCAATTTCTCCCTTGTGTATCTCCTGGGTACATCATTAATTGTGTCATTGTTTTTATACCGTAATCACGTAACTGATTGTTTTATCGTAGATATTTCGCGGACACCCTTGCACACAATGAAAATGGGGGTGGAACGACGACGCACGGCGGCCGCGTCGAGACGACGGTTACTCAACAACCACCGTCTCGATTACCCTCTCCGATCACCCAAAATCATCCGGTCTCGAGTACGTGCACATCCGGTACCACGACCGTACCAAACGGCACTACTTACAAGGATCCACAATCGTACGTTCACCCGTAAGTTGAGCTGGTCCAAGAAACGGAATACAAATTCCACAGATTATGATCTGTCATTTACGGCGAAGACACCTACGCGTGTTAAGCTAGCGCAAGAATTGAGCAATGCTGATTGAAAGATTCGAACGAGAATTTACAAATTGGTGGAATGTATTTTAGTATACAGGACAAGTCTAAAAACTGGAGCAAGTTTAGATACCTTTTAGTTCCATCGATGAGAGTTAAAATTAAAACTTAAGAATATGATGGAAAATGCAAGGAAGCGTGCAATAAAATAATTAAACGCACCTGGTAGGACGTTTGAACACCAATTACGATGAAGTAACATCTTAATATACATTATGAAATATCTCAGAAAGTATTGCGTCTTCAATTGTTATGTATTAATACTTGTATAAGAAGAACAATCTTAACAACAGATCTCCAGTTCAGTAATTTTGATACTCTAACATATTAAAGAAGGAAGTCTCGTATAAAAAAATGTTATTCTCTATTTTCGTACGAGGAATCGCCTTCTTTTCTGTATATTGGAACACATTTCACCAGTTTGACGTAGAAACGAACACAACGAATCACGAGTATTTGAGAAGTCGTACGACAGCCGGGTATCGAGAGCAACGTTTCCAGTTTCGTTTCAAGAGGAATCAACTTTTCATTTTCAGACACGCGTTACCAGAAAGTCCACCGGACAGCGGTAGCGAACCACCGTATTCGCCGCCTGGCCACAACGACACGCAACATGTACATTCGCCGCGTGAGTGTATAAAATGTTCGAAATTACTCAAGTCGGCGATCGTATCTGTGGCTGAGAACGCATTTAAAATTCCGTGAGAAGCGTCTGTCTGGACGAAACAGCACAGAGCCGCGCCGACGAACTAATCCTGAACTTCCAATTAAGGATTTACAGTTAGAGGAACTGTACTATTTCAGATCAAAAGGTAGCTCTTCAAGAGATGCTTCTGCATCATCAAGGAAATCAGACTAACTACGCTTCAAATTTATTACCCTCGTCGCCGAGGACCTTAACCACGTCCACGGATCCTATGTTACTGACACATTCGGTCTTGACGTCCCATCTCGCGCCCGGTACACCTAATCTACAATCCCAACAGCAGATAGGCCAAACATTGGTGCCCTTGCCGCACGAGCACAGCCCTGGTAACATCAACACGTTGTACTCGTCGCTGCAATCGGCCCCCAAGAAAAGAAAATTGAGCCAAGACGGTCTTGTCCACGTGAAGCAGGTGCAACGAGTAAAATTTCCGGTTACTAATATCGATAAATTCTAAACATAGTACATTTAAAACGTTCGATTGAACATCATTCCTGCAAGTGGAAACGAGTACGACAGAAGGCTCGCTATTCTAAATCCTTACGTTAAAAGCACTAATTTTCTCTTTATTCGATTTTGACGGACTCTAGATTTCATATTTAAAGTTCGAAAAATCACGAATATTATTTTGTAGCAATTTATTAATGAATCCATCAACGTAACAGGTTTGGATGGAAGTAGGTATACAATCCGTAAATTTGGTGTTAATCTACTTTTGCAGGGTAGTAGATTACACAATTCGACACAATTTAAAAAGTCAAACGTGATAGATGATATTTGAGGCTTTCTGAAAGTTGATAATGGTTGAAGCTTTCGGATGTAAACTATGTCCTTTTAGAAAACTGTTGCGATCTTTTGCAAGCGTCATAGCTAACTTCCTCAGAGATCAAATGATGCACCGTTATTAGTTGTGACTCGTGTGATTTAAGTCTATTTAAAATGTGTGTACCATGTCATAGGACAGTGGTTATAAATCATCGAGCTTGTGTCATCATGGATTACCTTGCGAAACGTTGGAACACTTTCCTAAAAGGACATGGTTTACATCGAGAAGTCTCGACAAGTATTAAATGAGACACTTCTTGTATATTTTGTGATGTTGAATCCAAATCTGGTCACGAAATTGCACAAACACGTAAGGATTTCGAGGAAAATAAGGTCAAACGTGTCCAAAAGGCCGATTATGGTCATCTTTGAAGCTATACTGTAGTATAGCTGTTGGTTCTAATTGAAACATTTTGTCTCCGAAATTATTACAGCAGTAACTGGAACCACGACAGTCAATGTGTCAAGTAGAAGAAGAATTCCGAAATTTTAGTTTATTTTTCTGGATAATTAGCCTTCCGCAGTACAGTTTCCTTTCATTCTTTTCCTAACTTAAGGTAAAATCATTCTTAGTATTTTTAACGTTTCAATTATTTTATTTTGATTCTCTTCAGAAGCAATATAATAGAGTATAATGAAAAGAGAAATGGACGAAAAGGTAAACATGTTTATACAAATATGTGTGATACAAAAATTATAAAAATCATCTATGGTTAGATAATATATTTATATAATACAGTATGGAAAATTATTAATCACAGATAACACTATCTCAAAATTCTTTTAAAATACGTGTTGAAGATTACACGATACTTTGTTCAATTATACATTTTGCCTTCTAAAAATACTCTCATGTATGATTTCTTGAAGATACTATGTATTTCTAAATATTGGCATCAGTATTTTTATTCTGTTTATAAATTGTACAATATTTTTCACGTTGGACAAAAAGAAATTGTTACCTTTATTATAAGAAAAATTTAATCTAGTTCTAAATATTACATAGTATATTTATTTATTCTTATTTTATTTCCTTGATACGATTTTTGATAAAATTTTGATACAGCAGATTAATAACATTTCCTACTTTACTATGAAAATATGTTATCTAAGCATAGGTAATTTTAAAAATTTTTCTGTCATATACACTTGTATAAAAATATTAACTCAAGATACAACATAACCAATATGTACTTATTTGTTGAAAAATTCTCAAATAGTCGAATGTAAATTGATTATTTTGGAAAGCAATGCAAAACAGAGGTACATATTTATCATTTTATATTTCCTTTATACTATCTTTTTTCTGTTATCTTTCGAGAGGGAAGTAAGTGTAAAAAATGCTTGGATGGATTTTACCTTAAAACACATCACGTAAACCAAATTTGGATTTCTTCTTTATTATTGACATGATCTTATAGGAGCCTGAATTGGGCACAGTGGAGCACAGTTGTAGCAGCAGCAGTGCAGTGCTCGATGGCGACGAGGTCGCGGATAACAGCTATATCGATGCTAGCTATCAGTGCATCCGATTTCATCCCTTTCAACAAACATCTTGGCACGTTCTTTGCGACCATAATCTCAAAGAACTCCCAGTGCCGCATTACCGCGTGGACGCTGACAAGGGATTTAATTTCAGCAACTCGGACGACGCGTTCGTGTGCCAGAAAAAGAATCATTTTCAGGTAGACACCATGTCGTCAATGTTTCGACTTATAAACACGAAAAAGCATTGTATGAAATATCCCAAAGTCACTATCTATTTTGTTAAATAATAAGAATTTTAGGAAAGAAAACTACAAGAAACAAAATGTTCGTTTCAGTTCGTTCAAGCTGCTCGTTGAAACTTATTTAAAAACGATTTATAAGTGCTTTTTAAAGTATCGAATTTTTTATTTGTAGTCCTCTTATTGACGATGAGTGTATAGAAATGAGTTTTCATTGTTATATGCAAGATAAAAGAAACAAAATGAAACGAGATTATTTTCTAAAATAGGTAGTGACAGTTCATACACCATACACCAATGGTGACCAAATATTATCATGTTTGGAGTCATATGTTACCTATCAGAAGTAGTCAAAAACCGAATCCGCTATTGGAATAGTATTTTATACGGGATATTCAGCCACCCCTGGGAAAAATTTAAATGGGAGATTCTCGAGGCCAAAATAAAACGAAAATCAAAAATATCAATTTCTTGACTGAGGCTTCGTTAAAACGTTATTAAAAAATTCAATTAAAAAATTTCAAATCATTCACGGAAAAATTATTTTCGATTGCGAGGATCAATTACAATCATTCTTGGTGAATAGACATACCCCCGAATTCCTACGCACTTTTGAGACAAAAATTCGACAAGGTGTGAAATTTTTCGATGAAATTAAAAAATTTTAAATTGTTCTAGAAAAATTATTTTCGGTTGTGGGGGTTAATTACAATCATTTTTGGTGAATACATATAGGTTCAAAATCCTTCGTACTTTCGAGAAAAAAATTCAGGAAGGTGGACAAATTTTTCGACAAAATTAAAAAATTTCAAATCGTTCTAGAAAAATTATTTTTGGTTGCAGCGGTCAATTACAATCTTTTTTTATGAATACACATACCTCCGAAATCCTAAGTACTTTCGAAAAAAAAATTCTTTACCGAAAATATACTGTCAGGCTGGAAATGTTTCCATAACTTTTTAACGAAGCCTCAATCAACAAATTAGTATCCTTGATTTTCGTCTTATTTTGGCCTCTAGAATCTCCCATTAAAATCTTTCCTAGGGGTGGCCGTACACCCTGTATACATATAGAGAATGGTACACCTAAATATTGCCACTTAAATGTCTTCTTTAACACTACACAGAAATTTTGTACATTCGAATGAAAACAAACAGCTGTTCATACACAAAACTTATTATTCAGCTGTAAAGATATCTTAGGAGCCTAGAAAAGTCGCGTGCGGTTCGCGAGTTGCAGTTAAGCCATCGTTTTTATACACACACAAAACATACACGTACGAAAATACTTTCATCGTAGTCTATAAATGAACTGGATTAAAAGCAATGCGACTTTTCAGATCACCTGCCATGCTCAGCTCCAAGGCGAAGCTATATTCGTCAGAACCGGTGAGGGTTTGAAAAAGATAAGTAGCTTCCAATTACACTTTTACGGCGTCAAAGTCGAGTCGCCGACGCAGACGATCAGAGTCGAGCAGAGTCAAAGCGACAGAAGTAAGAAACCGTTTCATCCCGTGACGTAAGTATACAGATAAAAGTCTAGAATCGATTAATTAACGATAGTATCACGCGCACGATGCGCCCTTTGTTTTTCGTTTTTCTATTCAAAGATTTTGTACGAACGTTTCGGATCCTTTGGTGCGAAATTCTTTCATTCTCGGTAGCCAGAAGAAGTTACTGCGTTACGCTAAAATAGAGCTGCTTTCAGGGTGGAACTGGGCGGCGAGCGTGTTACGAAGGTAACCGTTGGCCGTCTTCACTTTAGTGAAACGACCAGCAACAACATGCGGAAGAAAGGGAAACCGAACCCGGATCAGAGATATTTTCATTTGGTGGTCGGTCTCCACGCTCACACCGCGGACCAAGCCAGCTACCAAGTGGTTGCTCACGCGTCGGAAAGAATAATCGTCAGGGTAATTGTTTTTATGTATTTACATGCATAATTATAGGAGGATCTGTCAAACACTATAGTAATGATTCTTAAAATGAATTTGATCCGTAAGTTGAACATTTCTATCCCTTCCAACTGGCGAGGAGGGGATCCCCCTTGGAGCCAGTGAAGCGTGAAAGACATTTAGATACATAATTATAGGGGGATATCGTAACTTCGTTTGAAAAGAATGAGAATATTACTCTAAATCGAAGAAATGTACGCTTTGGTACGGTGTCAAACATTTTATAGTAATGATTCTTAAAATAAATTTGATTCGTAATTTGAACATTTCTATTCCTTCCAACTGGTGTGGAGGGGATCTCCCGTGGAGCCAGTGAAGCGGAGGACTTTTAAAAAACGATACGAGCTGTAGTGCGAGCGACGATTTATATAAAAGACAAGGTTTTTTTTCTCATTCCTTTTCACTCGCTGTCCTGTTCTTCGATTGTCGACTACGGTCGTCGGCAAAAGATAAAGGCCACTGTCAGGCTTAATGATATCGCTGTGTATTAATATCTGCTGGTTTCGAATTTTATGTTCGTTTTACAAAACATGAACATATCAACCATGGAGCGATGTTCATTTTAAGAATCATTAAAGTGAGTCTCAAATTTTGCTGTATATTAAGTAACTTACGGTAATTAAAATTGAATTTACAAGCTGTGAGTGTACGCTGGCCGAAACAAAGAAAAACTGTTTCTATTAACAAAATTATTGGAATCGATATCCCTAATAGATATCAAAGCATTTATAGAATTTTTACGAAATACTCTTCCATTATCGTCACTCGATATGCACGTTCAATTAGTTCAGTTCGTTACCAACAAATGTTACTGCTTTGTTCATGAGATATTGTACTGATCCTATGCTTTGTTTTGAAAAACTTCGCGGTAAAATAGAATGTATTAACATCAGTCAATATTAATTCCGAAAACTATAATATTTCATATGGATTTGTGGACGAAAGACGCGAGAAAGGGATCTTATCGTGTATAAATATCTATGCGTATCTGCAATAAAAATAATGCGGAAAAGTCTTTCAATGTTTTCAAAATGTCAAAATTATTTTAAATTGATAATATGTTATGTAATATATATGAAAATATAGGCAATTATTTTTGTCTGCATTTCCTTAATAATTTGGAGATACGAGGATTAAGAAAGCATCGGTTACTTGAAGATACACTAAGGTGTTTTAAAATAGGATGATTTGACATAAGTTATAACGTCAATTAGATCAAAAGTAAATAAAAGAACTATATGCGTGCGTGCTAAGAATCTTGGCTACGCGTTTTCAAGTTAGGCAAATTATTAAGAACAAAATTCTGAGGACTTATAGACTTCGACAAAAGAATGAAAAAGCTTGGTATCTGTTTAATCTAAAATGAATACCTATATTTATTACGTTGTTATAAAACAGCCTCTAAATATTCCTTGTATATTAAAATTAATTTGACTTAATTTTATTACAAAAATCAATTTACCAGGTTTTTCTTTTCTTCCGTTCCTATCAAAATTACGATCAACGTATTTCCCAATAGTTATGGAATGATATCAGAGAAAACATCTATTGGGGACTTTGATTTTGAAATATGAATATTTAGAAAATAAAACGAGGCACCTTGATACGACTGTTTTATAAACGTGGGCAATATCATTATTGCAGGCAAGTAATCCGGGACAGTTTGAATCGGAAGGCAGCGGCGTCGGCGCCGAAGGTGGTTGGCAAAGAGGAGCTGCACCTGATAGCGTTTATCATGCTGGTCGAGTCGGAATTAACACGGACAGGCCAGACGAAGCTCTGGTGGTCCACGGTAACATGAAAGTGCGTCTACGACATTCTTTCGTTAGAGACAAATTACACAGAATGTTCGACCACCTCTGGGAAAAATTTTAATGGGAGATTCTAGAAGCCAAAATAAGACGAAAATCAAGAATATAAATTTCTTAACTAAGGCTTTGTTAAAAAGTTATTAACGTTTAAAGTTCCGTCTTTAGAACGGCAATCTGCGAACAGCTGCGCGTGCGCGGTAGTGGTTCTCACACAGCACAAAAAACTCTGCTTACTCAGCTTACGTAGCTGTTCGCAGATTACCATTCTACAGGCGCAACTTCAAACGTTAATAATTTTTTAACGAAGCCTCAATTACCAAATTGGTATTCTTGATTTTTGTCTTATTTTGGCCTCTAAAATTGCTCATTAAAATTTTTCCCAGAGATAGCCAAACACCCTGTATAAAAGTGGAAATTAACATTTGTATGATACTCTTGCTCTCTCGCAGGTGACAGGTCATATTGTTCAGCCCAGCGACGCTCGAGCAAAACAGAACGTGCAGGAGGTGGATACGCGTGAACAGTTACGAAACGTGCAACAGCTGAGAGTAGTTCGCTATAGATACGCTCCAGAATTCGCGCAACACTCGGGGTTGGGTATCAAACACCATGAAGACACGGGTGTTATCGCGCAAGAAGTTCAGCAAATATTACCGGAAGCCGTACTACCGGCTGGCGATATAGTCCTTCCGAACGGTCAGAGGATCGAGAACTTTTTGGTAGTCAACAAGGAAAGAATATTCATGGAGAATGTCGGTGCCGTGAAAGAACTATGTAAAGTAAGATATCCTACAAAGCTATTTTCTCTTAAGCGTTCATTATCGCTGGAAGTGTGGGAGAACCTAATGATTGAGACGAGTTAGGTAGTACAATTTTCATTCTTCATTATCGTCGGAATACTAGGTTGTGTGGACTAACAGAGTACAAAAACAATTGGCTATTCGTAGATTTAGAGTAAACTTGACGTGTTCGCGAAGCTGCCAAAAATTAGAATCTGCGTTTAGGGAAAAGCGCGGGATCTATATATGTGAGGTTGGAAACGTGGGAAAGGGGGAGCTTCCAGAAATGAGTCAGTGGTCAAGATTCGGGTGTGAGTCAGGATAAACGTTGAAATCACCAAGGAAAAGAATTTGGGATGTTTTGTAGTTTTGTATGAAAAGGATATACGCGTAAACAAAATAAGACATACTGGCATACAATATTATGCTAAGAAATTTGACAAGTTGGAGTTAAGCATTTCCACTCTATCTTACGACTTTCATCAATTATAATTTGACAAATCATAATGTATTTTTTCCAGAACCTCAAAATTTTCAAGGACCCCAAAAAGCATAAAATAAGTAACAACTATTAAAATGTTCCAGGTAACGGATAGCTTGGAAACGCGCATAGACCAATTGGAAAGAATAAACAAACGGCTAGCGAAACTGAAGAGAGGCGACAGCCTCAAGAGTTCAATTAGTACAATATCTAGCATATCAAGTAACAAATACTCATCGTCTATAAATAATAAGACCACTGTACAGGGAAAGGTGAAAAAGAGCGAGCGCGAAGACGAGCTCCTTTGCAGTAACAAATTTATTCAGATCATCATTGTTATACTTATCCTAATCATGGCGTTTTGGTAATTAGACTGCACTTTCGAATTCTTTCTAATGTATTTCGCGTCTACCGAACCTGGTGTACTGAGACGAGCTTTAATTTACAGCTTAGTTGCGATGGCGACATTATACTTCTTAGAATATCAAAAACGCAGTAGTCTCGAATGGTCTGCAGTAGCGAGCAATGGTATGTTGGCTATCAGACCGGCTCGTCCGTCGACAGTATCGAGTACACCTAATTACGATCCTCGGTACAATTCGTTGCTGGACAGTACGTTGTCGTCGTCGTACACTAAACACGGATCGCAAAGCAGAGGATCGGATGGTAGTTTGTCCATTAAAAGCAACGCACTTTCCACGCAAGCGCCGCACACGAAACAGCAGCTCTATTCTCAAGAAATTACTTGGTATCCGATAAGTCATTCGGGGCCACAACCGAAGCTAGAGAAAAATAGGTTTGTCTCGAAAGTAAATCTATCCGAATTGTCTTTGAATTTAAATTCTATTCTATGAATATTTTTAGTGAAATTCGTGAAAATTGGCTGAGAAATGCAGATGCTATCCCCCATAACGTAGATGAAAACGATCAAGGGTCGGACGTAGACTCTTCGTCCGTGACCAAAGGTCCTATTCCTTTAGGTAGACCAGTAAATTGTCCAAGGCATTTTACCGAATTTAAAAATCCGTGCCAGGTAAAATCTAACATCAGTTTGTTTTGTGTTGTTTGTTAGTCCGTTACGTTGACCAAGATATTCTTTCGTAGGTTTATTGTTGCACGACTAAAATCCATCAATTCGAGGATTCCCAACCTGATCACCCTCCGGAAAAGAAATCAATTTGTAAGTTTCATATTATGTCGTGAACACTAAAGCAATCCTACAGGTGTGTCCTGAAATCCTACTGGTGTGTGTGAAAATATTGTGATTACGTTTTTCAGCAGATCATATAGAACAGCCATTGAACGTGCACGAAGAGAAACGTAAGATAAGCAAAGGTTTTCAAAACGGTATCAGTCCATCCGATCCAAGTACACAAACGCTCGTGAAAGAGGTAAAATAATAGAACAAATATTTAACGTTACAAGTGATTCGTCACGGATTATATTGAAGATTTGTACATTTATACTTCAGAATAATTATAAGTATCTACATAAGAGAACAAGAAGAGAAACTGGGGGTGGTGACTGGGGGGAAGTTGCCAGTAACGCGGCAGGATCACTACCACCGGAACCTAAACCACAATTGCGGATAGTAGGAGACAGTTTTAACACTTCTCTCGATCAAAAGTATTGCTCTGCGTCGTCGCAGGATGCACAGAATAATATTACTTGTGTCGTGCCTTTGTCCAAATATATGCCAGACACACATCTTACATTACATTTTGTGTGAGTTTATGGATTCGTTGTGTCGTTACTATCTTGTTTTGGTAGGAAAGAATTAGCGTTTTAAGTATCTTGCACTTTTAGCGGAATGCCTTGGTATTGGCAAATAGTGCAACAATGCTCGTTACCGGCAAGTTCTGGCTTGGATGAATCTATGGTATGCGGTCAGAAATACACGATGCAGCAACCAGCTCAATATATTGAAAGTAACAGTCAACCAGGAGACCAATTATTTCCTCTCGATGTTGCTCATTATCTCAGGAAAACATTGAGGTTTCGTGTACCTACTGTACAACCACAAGAGGTAATTATTCTTGTGATGTATGAACAATTTATCAACGTACTGTTACGTTCATTAATGAACTAATTCCATTTTCTATTTTTTGCAGAATATTTGTAAGAATAAGCACGGTGTCGATTATTCGGAATACACATTGCACTTCTACCGAGATTGCGACGAATAAATAATTTTTTAACGATATTACAATTCACAGGGAATTTAATGTCAAGATTTCTATTTCTTGTCTGAAATATTGTTGAATCTAAATAGCAGGACCTTCTCGTGCCTTCGTAACGTATTCCGTCTCTGATATTTCCAAGTATAAAATTCTATACAGCATATTTGATTTTATATATAAATATCATATATACATATATATAAAATCAAACTGTAATTGTGTTTTATATGTTATTGCAATGTAATATGTAGTGCGACGATTATAATTATTAACAAAAATGATTAGATCTTACAGACTCAAGTAGTAAAAATAATACAGTAGAATTTAAAACTTTCTTTTCGTTATTTAGGAAAGTATTCGTACTATTTTTCTCACCTCATCGACGATATATCGGATATTATAAAATATTATTAAAATATTTGATAGTTGATGGGTGACAGTTTAAATACCCTACGATTTTCAAAGAAATCTCTACATTCTTTGCTGGAACTACATACGAGAGCAACGCTTATGTCTTACACGTCTATTGAATCAGAATTATGATAGGTGATATTACACCGTCAAGTGTAAAATATTGTACAAAGTAAACGGGACTAACGTTAAAGACTAAATTTTAAAGATCATGTATATATTTTTTCAAAAGTGTAAACACGTATGAAATACACCCATCAACTATAATGTAATATTAGCATACTGTTTCACTTGTTTTCACATTTATTTATACTTGTGTACAAAGTATAATCATTATCAAACATATGCGTTTGTGAACAAATATTCGTAGTAGATATATTACGAGTAAAAGTTTCTATAGGATCAATATTTTAATTGAACCTATATATTTCATATCTTGACATTAATTTATTAATACATTCTATGTATAGTCCATATTTCAATATTAATTGATATATATACATATACATATTTTACAAGAACAACATGTATCACATAGAAACGTGATAGGTGATATATTCTTTATAAAATAAATTCAATTTTGTGATCAGCAATCAAGCGATCAAAGACTTTAAAGCATTGCAATAATTGTTAAATAATGCCTATTTGCAAAGATGAAGCGATGTACAAAGAGATATTGAAATTACTTAGTTTGTTTTCATTTTTTTTTGTTAGTTCAAACACTTATTTACAGACATTGATTTCCTTTCAAGGTTTCACTTCATTTCAAATACGTATCTTTTCTAAGAAAAGAACTGAAGCGTTTCGACGCTTAATTATTTTAATGCAAATGACGATAGATGTTTATAAAACGCGATATTATAGAATTTCAAGTTCCTAAAAGGTATTGTATAATAATTGTCTATTTCGTAAATTAGAAGTAGGTGGATATATTTTATTTGCACTTACGGTCTAAATAGTTATTAGTTGCATATAAGTAGATTCCCACTATTGTCATTATTACTAGTGTTGCTATCACTACTATTGTTGCTATAATATGTAATAAGACTATTGCTGCTGTTATTACCTAATGTCGCTATATAATCAATATACATATTGGATTGAAATTATGATTTCCGTTTATGAGATTTCAGATGCTGTGTTGTAAATTAATTAAGAATTCTCGATAGTATTTAATATAACATCTCTGTTTTGTGAATTTTTTTTGTATCAAACGGTACGTCAGTATCTTACTGAAATAATAGGATCTAAAGAGATTGTCATATTATATACTTTTGCATAAATTATTTCACGCTTCTTCTGTGTCGTTACTCAATTTTGCTTTGTAAGTAAATTTACTTTATCCATACATAGGCAAAATTGTACAACATTGCCAGTTAACATTCATCATGTTATTAGAAACTCGATGGTAGGCCGTTCATTTTTCGAATTCTTTATTTATGCGTGAGTATAGATGGTGATCATACGATTTCTGCCGTCCATATGTTTTTCCGTACATGAAAATGTTTACGCTAACTTATAAATGAATATTGATCCATTCAACGATATATTTTTACATAACATTAGCTCATGTGGAGAAGCTTCTGGATAGCCCGTACCATTTTCGTATATGTGAATCATGTAAAAAGATGGAAACATTATTGTACAATAATATGTAACTGAAGTGCAAGTATATCGCAATATGTTAGTGTATAAGTCTCCATTATCCCATAAAAGAAATATACAGGGATTCTAAATTTTTATTTGAAGTTTTTGTTATCATCTTAAAGATTTTTCAAACTTGATTTCTCTCGATATATCTTATAATTTGTGTCGATCAATATATAATCAGGTGAAATGCAAACAGATTTTTCAATAATGAAAAAATGTCAAGCTCATGATCCTTCCGAATTTTTGCATGTTAATATTATTCATACACTATAATTTATACGATTAATATAGTATATATTTAATATATATATATGTGTATATGAAATTACATTAGTTTTAATCTTGTATGTATCATTATCTTTTCATGCAGAATCTGTTAAGAAAAAAAAAGGTTCTGTGCAACACATTGCGAAATGGTATTTGTGTAATGTATTTAATTTAATTCGCGTAGTATGTATTCTTTTCTTAGAAAACTCTATATATTGCCAACATTTGTATATTTCCCATTATCATTTAAAAATGTAATGTTTCATTGTCGTATACGTGTTATGTCATCGTTTAATCTATTATTAGAATTTGTTATTGTTTTATATTTTAATGTATTATAATTTTGACTCAAGTTCAGACAAGAAATCCCATTTTCTATATACGTTGAATCGTTCATCTTTCACGACGAACTCACTGAAGGATATTATTTTCCAAATAGAAGAGAGTGCAAAGCGTGTATGTGGCAATTAAAAAGCTAACGCGCGCGATAAATAGAAGTGTCATAATGTCGAAAGAAAAATGGAAATTTCTATCTTCAATCTCGAACCTTAATCTTAAAGACACTCGCATAGAGATGGAAATATTTATGTATTTGATAGGAAAGAAATTTCTGTTTAACATAAGCGGCATAATCCATATGTTTTAAGTAACGCTACTAGGATTTGTACATACAATTTAGCGTAGCAATGGTATGTGTACTACTTGTAGTAAAATGTTTAGGTTTAAGGGAATAAAAGTCATATAATTACCACATCATTCTAATGACGTTAATGAAGGAGATAAATTACTCGTAAAGATGTAATTTCCCGATGCTATCGTATGTATTATATTTTCTAATCATTAGCAATCAAATAACAGTCAAATTATTTGGAAAATACTTTAGTTACTCTAGCTGTAACATGTAATTTAAAGGGATATTATAAATTTATTTGTGTCGATAGACGATTTTAATTTTGATTTTAATAAAATGACAAAAATTCAACAAACATCACGATCCTAAGATAAACGCACAAATGATTGATTCACTAGTCTCATTTTACTTTGTTCTAATAACACCATTTCTCTCTTTTCTACTAATATTAAACATGTTTACTGTTTTATTAATATGACGATTTATTATTGCTCGCCTCTTGAGCATTAAATAGTACCATATTATGTATATTTGAACAAAAACGCATGTAAATGTTATATTCACATATTTATGAATGTACTGTTAAGACAAATACATATAACAAACTTGTATTTGTAGAAAAATAAAGATATTGCTCGAAAAAAAGCTATCGATTTATCTTGTATGAAATACTATGAAGCCTCATAATTAAATCCGACACTTCTTGTATTGTTGTTAGCCGATATACTTAAATAATTTAATTTTTGTTGGCAAATACGTAAGTGTTACTATTGTAATTGCCTTTAAGCTTCATAAATTGTTAACAGGCAACTTGAAACAGGGAAGGGACGACTGGCATGTATGGTGCAATCATGTACAAAGTACATGCATATGTGAGCCAGCAAAATAAACAAACTAACTACAATTACAGGCAAGTAAAGTGACATAGTAGTAACACAGAATGCTTCTCCATCCTAATCCGAAGATGAAGATGAAGAGCCATTTGTTAAGGGCCCTTGCTAGATACAGTTTGTCAGGGCCACTGTTTGTATGTTTATATAAGATTGAAAAGCTAATCTATTAAGCATTTTATAATATTATCTATTGTCGTGAATGTAGTATCAACAATTGTCCAATAAATGACAAATAGAAATTTAATATTATTGTTATAATTGATAAGAATCTAATCTTATAAAATTCTATATGTAAATTGTAATAAACTTAACAGTAATAAAATTAAAAATAAACTCTTAGAAACTAAATCACCGTGTCCATTGCGTTTACTCACTCAACTAGCACTTGGGCATTTGGATGAGTTCAGACAACGAACAAGAACAAATATCCTGAAAATCCTGAATTAAAAAGATTGGTTCATAAATAGAAACAGTATTTTTTATTTCATTTTCAGTTAGAATAACTCGACCATTTATTTGTGATGTATTGAAAACAAAATATCTTTATATTAAAATATGAAAATTATGAAAAATATTAATATTAAAGAAAAACATTGTAATTGAAATGTAATTATTTAAAAGGAAAAGCTTTAATCAAGATTTTATGATAGAATAATTTACTTTGAAAAGTTTAGGAATATCATTTAAATAAAATTGAATTATCAATTCAAATATTCAACTATTCTCGGCCCATTCTGTCGTCAAATTAATTAAAAAAAAAAAATGAAAATAGCATAAAACGCTTGTTAATTTGAGTCAAAAAATTACCAATCGCGAATTATCTTCTTCTACATGAAATACATCATATTTTGGAATAATTAAAGAAACAATTAATATTAATAAACGAACAGTATTATTAGAATCATGATTTACAATGAGGTTAAAAATAAGTAAAGAAAATAAATAATTAACATCCATATTTTAATATGTATTCAATCATATGATAGTGAAAATATTTAATATATTTTCATTTATAAATGTTCTTAATAAAAATTATTCGTTACTGTGTGAAGCTTTTATTTATGATACTTAAAAGACACTAACCTGAACTAACAAAATATGACAATAAACGTTACTACTAACGGGTATGATTTATACTCGCGGTCACTTTACTTGCCTAAAGGTAGCACGTATACAAGCGGTCACCCGTGTTAATTCGGACCTTTCGTCCTACAACGTGATTGGGGACCGGAAGAATAAAAATCGCATGCAACTTACAGTTCGTTGACTACGATGGGGAATTCCTCTGCGACGCGTCCATGACCATACTGCTGCCCAGTAGAAGTCATCAGAGAACTCATCTGCATGGTTCTGCTGGCCCCCAAGACGCAAGGACAAGATCCAAAAACTATGAAGAACAAAAAAAGAAATTATCATCTATCGCAAAGATTATATAAATTTCACAATTTAATATAAAGGATGCTACTTTCAAAACTAATCGCAGGTTTTTGATAATTTAGAAAATTTCAATCTAATAATCCAATTTGATAATATCATTTTTTTTTAAACGTGCATAGAAAAATGTAGGGGGATACTTACGCTTTCCGGTCGTCAAGCATCGTCCAAAACTCCTCTTCAGTGATGCACTGACTCTAATACCGGTAATAAATAATTTTAATTTGGAAAGAAAAACGGAAATAATAAATTAACGCAACCGAAAGTCAACATCGGCGAACAATTGAATTTACTTTCGCGATTTATAAATCAAAGAGAGCACCAATACTTCTGAACAAGATTTACGATTGCGCAATAAACACTGACTCGATCTTCCCGTGTGCCTAAATTGTAAACAAAACTCTACTCGAAGCCACTGTGCTTCGAAAACTAACAAACTATTCTACGCAACAATCACTGACTCTATCGACCGCATTGCACGCGGTCATCAAAATTTCTGATAGATAAACTGTAATTAGAAATAAAAAATAATTAAGTTACCTCACAGACTTGTTTATGTATCGATTTAATACTAAATTAAATAGTAAATCGATGAAAAGGCAAAAATATATAAACATCTATAGGTACGCACTCACGTATTATAATAAAGTAGACCAATTCCAATCGAATTACAGCAATGTCCATAATTAAAATAAAATACTCGATCAAATTTCAATAAAATAAATGTACCTACATCTTAGTTGAGCCCCAACTGAACTGAAATATGTTTAATGAGATGTTAATTTTGTTTAGAGATATGATAATTGATGTCAATTAGATTTGGAAGAAAACGCGCGAAACAGATACCACTTTTATCACGATTTCGACTGAATTTACAATAGACGCGTGTTAATATGAAACAAAAGCACCAACAGAGTATGGCAGAGAGCACTAGTAGCGATTAGAAACGTTTAGATGACAATAAATAAAACGTACGCACCTTTTAGACGCGAAGCCTGTCTATGTATCTCATCACACCAATTTCCAAGGAACGAATGACGAACCCACGGGACAGGAGCCGGATAATAGGTGGGGAGTGGGGTGAAGCGATCGCGTAGTCCTTCGTCTCGACTCTCGGTGTTTACTTCCGAAGGATAGTTTAAACCTTACATTACGAATATCTGAAAATACATAAAGTAAATGTAGAAAATAAAGACAAAAGGATACCAGGCAAACAAATATTAATGATTTATTATCTCTATATTATTGTGACGTCACAATGCATAGCATCGACTTTCGATCATTCGATATATTCGATAGTGTCTCTTAAAGATGAAATATCAACAGATAAACTTTTTACAGTTGCTATTGTTGTCGACTTTAATAAATGGTTTGAATATGTTTCCGAAATTCATGTTTCTTAAATGTAGAAAACGACAAATATACATATGTATATATACATATATAGAATATACAAAAGCATTAATTTTTCACGATGTTTGTACTTTACGTCGTAGGTTACTGATTCTCACTAAATGATTTTTCTGGTCTATTATTTGTCTATACCTTTTTCTTATGTACTCTAGAATATTGTTGTATGAATACAAAGGATACTTACATTTTTCGCACGTGAGCATCGCCAAATACACTTTTTCGTATAGATACAGGTTTCCTGTCGAAACGTGTTCACAAACTCTCAAAGCATTATGGCGTCGCGTGTATAGCGTGACCGTAGTTTGACCGCAGTTGAGAGTCTCATGTGGTTGAATTGTAATTACGAGCTGCCACAGATATAAAACACGAATTTGTTAACAGACACTTATTAATATTGGATAAATGCATCGATGGATAATGACGAAAAGAAGAGAACCGGTTAAAAATGAAAAATACGTTTGACCGTAGTTGAGCGTCCCGTGTTTGAATTGTAATTACGGGCTCTAACAGAAATAAAACACAAATTTGTTAATATGCACTTATTAATATTGTATAATTGCATCGATGGAGAATAACGAGGAGAATAGAAATG